TGGTAGGGAAACTGAGGACATTGGTGGTGGGAAATGTGCCCTGGTGGAAGGACGGGTGCTAAATCACTGTGTGACTGAACTGTGATCAGGAACAGCTTTGTAAGGGTCTATCCAATTAAAAAAATAAAATAAAATATTGTGGAGTTCATGCCCAATTCAACCAGCTTAAATCAATGGCTGAATAAACAGCAGTTCTCCTACATAAAAAAAAATTAAAAATGTTTAAAATGGGGGGGTCGGGGATGGAGCAATAGCATAGCAGGGAGGGCGTTTGCCTTGCACGCAGCTAGCCCAGGTTCGATCCCCAACATCCCCTAGGGTCCCCTGAGCACTGCCAGGAGTGATTCCTGAGTGCAGAGCCAGGAGCAACCCCTGTGCATCGCCAGGTGGGACCCAAAAAGAAAAAAAAATTAAAGAACCCAAGAACCCCGCACCCCCCCCAATAAATTTAATTTTAAAAATATTATCCTGCTTAGGGTCTGGAGAGATAGCACAGTGGGTAGGACGTTTGCCTGGCACGTGGCAGATCCGGGTTCGATCCCCGGCATCCCATAGGGTCCCCCGAGCACCACCAGGAGAGACCCCTGAGTGCAGAGCCAGGAGTCAGCCCTGAGCATCGCCGGGTGGGACCCAAAAAGCCAAACATAAATAAATAAATAAATAAAAGGGGTGCTCTGTGCACCCAGGCTCGGAGCTGGGTATCAACCAAGTGGTGGAAGCCAGGACGAGCCCCCCCAAAGGCACCTCACGCGTGGGGCAGCCTTTTCAGGCATCGTGGGGTCCCCCCAACCCTGCACGCGACACCCTGGTCTCCCTGGCCCTTCCCATGACCCTCCCCACCCGTCAGCCTCAGTTTCCCCACCCCCGCAGGGCCCCGGAGGACAGGCAGCTCCTCGCTGGAGTCTCACAGGCTTTTCCCGGGGGGACCCCCCCTGCTCCCAACACCTCCCCCACACTCCCAGCTCTGCAGACAAAGGCTCCGAGGGGGAATCGGAGCTTTCCAGAGTATTCCTGCTCCCCGGGGAGGCCCCGCGCGAACCCGCTAAAAATACCCCGCGGGTGAGGGTGAGGGGAATTGGTGTTGGCAGCCCGAGCGCTTGAGGCAGCCGCGACAAAGCCCCCGATCTGGGACCCCCGGCCCCTGCTCCTTCCTCCCCAGTCGCAGCCTGGGGGCCCCCTCACCCCCCATCCCACCCCAGTGGACTGTGACTAAACAAGACACCCAATGGGGCAAACTCAGAACCAACCCGCGCCCCCAACCCAGAGCCTGTCACGGCTCCCCTCTGCCCTCGGCCGGGGGACAGACCCCTGCACTCCCGGGCCAGCCACGCTGACCACTGCCCCCGGCGCACCCACCCTCAGATCAGAGACTCACACTTCCTCCCGGAGGAGTGCCCCCCACCCAGTCATGTCTGCACATCTCAACATTGGGGTCTCAGCCCCCAACACTCGCCGTCTCTTCCATCACCCCACCTGGTCCAGGCTTCTAAGGATGACGGGACGCACCAATGACTCCAGGGCACTCTGAGTCGCTCAGGGGCTCCACCCGGCACGTGCCCAGCGGAACGCCCACAGTGTCCAGCAGGAGTGTCCAGAGGGGGATGGGATAGTTCACTGCCTTTCAGGGAGTGAGAGGGCAGGGGCTGGGGGTGTTCTCCCCACCGAATGCTCCGAACAACGGCACACGGGACACTGAAGGAGGGAAAGAAGGAGGAGGGGCTGAGGGAGAGACTGAGGGACTTAGTGAGAGACGGAGTGAGGGATTGAGGGACTGAGGACCTAAATGAGGGACTGAGTGAGGGACTGAAGGACTGAGGAACTGAGTGAGGGACTGAGTGAGGACCTGAGTGAGGAACTGAGTGAGGGAGTGAGTGAGGATGTGAGTGAGGGAGTGAGAAAGTGATGAACTGAGTGAGGGGCTGAGTGAGGGGCTGAGTGAGGGACTGAGTGAGGAACTGAGTGAGGGAGTGAGGGAGTGAGAAAGTGATGAACTGAGTGAGGGGCTTACTGAGGGACTGAGGAACTGAGGGGGGAACTCAGGGAAGAACTGAGTGAGGGACTGAGTGAGGGACTGAGTGAGGGGCTGAGTGAGGAGCTGAGTGAGGAGCTGAGTGAGGAACTGAGTGAGGGACTGAGGGAGGAACTGCGGGAGGAACTGAGTGAGGGACAGAGTGAGGGGCTGAGTGAGGAACTGAGGGAGGAACTGAGTGAGGGACTGAGTGAGGGGCTGAGTGAGGGAGTGAATGAACGAGTGACCAAATGAAAAACGGCTGAATGAGTAACTGCCTGAGAGACTGAGTAAATAAACTATTGAGTGAATTAATGCATTGAGGAATGAGTGAATCTCAGGGCCCCGCTGGGTCTACATCGAGGGGCAGAATCAGGCTGCCCCAGAGTGGGGCGCCGGGAACTTCCCTGCACCTGGACTCCACCCTCGGCTGTGGGCACCCCCATCCCATGGACAGGAAGCCGAGGCATCTGCCATACCCCTGAACCCCTGGGTAGGACACGAAGACTAATCTCAGGGTGCCACGAAAGCAACCCACCACGTGGCAGGTGAACCTCAGGGTCCCCACTCCTGAGGGACAGTCACAAGTTTCCGTGGTCCCGGGTCCATCCACCTACAGCCAGAGGCTTGGGCCCATCCACCAACAGTCGCAGGCCCTGGGTCCATCCACCAACAGCCAAGGGCCTGGGTTCATCTACCAGTAGCCACGGACCCCGGGTCCATCCACCTACAGGCACAGGCTTGGGTCAATCCACCAACAGCCACGGGCCTCGGGTCCATCCACCAACAGCCACGAGCCCCGGGTTCGTCCACCAACAGCCAAAGGCCTGGGTCCATCCATCAACAGCCACAGGCCTGGGTCCATCTACCAGTAGCCACGGGCCCCGGGTCCATCCACCTATAGGCACAGGCTTGGGTCAATCCACCAACAGCCACGGGCCTCGGGTCCATCCACCAACAGCCACGGGCCCCGGGTTTGTCCACTAACAGCCACGGGCCCTAGGTCCGTTCACTAACAGCCACAGGCCTGGGTCCAACCACCAGCAGTTACGGGCCCCGGGTCTGTCCACCTACAGCCACAGGCCTGGGTCCATCCACCAACAACCACGGGCCTCGGGTCCATCCACCAGTAGCCACGGGCCCCGGGTTCGTTCACCTATAGCCACGGGCCTGGGTCCATCCACCAACAGCCACGGGCCCCAGGCCCGTCCACTAACAGCCACGGGCCTGGGTCTGTTCACCAGCAGCCATGGGCCCTGGGTCCGTCCACCTACAGCCATAGGCCTGGGTCCATCCACCAACAGCCACGGGCCTCGGGTCCATCCACCAGTAGCCACGGGCCCCGGGTTCGTTCACCTACAGCCACGGGCCCCAGGTCTGTCCACTAACAGCCATGGGCCTGGGTCCGTTCACCAGCAGCCATGGGCCCTGGGTCCGTCCACCTACAGCCACAGGCCTGGGTCCATCCACCAACAGCCACGGGCCTCGGGTCCATCCACCAGTAGCCACGGGCCCCGGGTCCGTTCACCTACAGCCACGGGCCCCAGGTCCGTCCACTAACAGCCATGGGCCTGGGTCCGTTCACCAGCAGCCATGGGCCCTGGGTCCGTCCACCTACAGCCACAGGCCTGGGTCCATCCACCAACAGCCACGGGCCCCAGGTCCATCCATAAGGCATGGTGACTGGAGAGCCACCAAGAAGGGGAACTGTAAAGGCAGCCGGACAGAGGACAAGGCCATAGCCCAGGGCTTCCTGGGCAGCGGGCGGGGCCGGCCCAGCCCCCAGAGGGATCCCCTGAGGCCCGCGGCTACCGCTCCTGTCCACGCCTGTCCCCTGCTGCAGATACACGCTTGCACCCAGGGGCGCCCGGAAGCCCTTCTACGTGGCCGGGCCTGTCCCAGGGGGCCCAGGAAAAGTCCGGGGGGACGCCTTGAATGACTGCAGCCAACACCCCAAATGAAGTCACCCAAGTGTCCCCAAAGCTGCAGACGCAGAGCCCCCGGAGAATTGATGGGGCGACGGGCTTCACGTCCTGAGCACTGACCTGGGAGCAGCCTGAGTCCTGCCGGTGTGACCCCCCAAAAAAAATAAAACAGATAAAGAAACTGCAGATCGTGCAGCTAGCGATCCCCCAGACTCAAGTGCGGGAAAGACAGAGGCTTGTGGGGAAGCTGAAAATCAAGGGGCCAGAGAGGTGGCCCAATGGTCACACCCCTGCTTCCCGCGGAGGACAGCTCCCTGTTTCATCCCCAGCAACGCCCCCGATACGACAACCAACCGGCAGCAGAGAGGAAGATTCTAGCTCGGGAGCTCACAGAACGCGGGCAGAAACGGTGCCGCCGGACACAGACTCGCTCTTGGTCTTCGGAGGTGTCTTCTGTCGGGCAGTGGGTGCCCTGGGGACTCCCTCAGTAGCCGAGGGTCACCCACTCCAGGTGTGTTCTGAGCATTCCAGAAGGAGACATTCTGGAATGTTCGAGAAAGGAGCCATTCTGGAACATTCCAGAAGGGAGCCATTCTGGAACATTCCAGAAGGAGCCATTCGCGGGGACATTTAGGGTGGACCCGGGCATCGTGTCCCCCTGATCCCCAATGGTGACACTGCGTACCTCCACTCACCCACCAGACAGAGTGTCCCTCCAGCCTCCAACATGGATGGATCATGTGCCCATGCCCCCTCTAATGTTGACACAGTGTCCCCTGCCCCTAGCACGATGTCTCCCCTCCCCCTCCCACCCCAACACACACCTCAGCCCTGCACACGCCATTTTGCTCATTTCCAAATAAATCCTTTATCCAAGGTTTTAGCACGCTGGGGTGGGTGTGGGAGGGGTCACAACCTAGTGGGGTTTGGGTGGGGGTGCTACCCCCCACTTGGGATGGAACTGGGGTCTCCTCCACGCTCAGACCCACCCCCGAATCCTTGGAAAACACCCCCCCCCCGTCTTGACCCTGGGGTCGCACGGAAGGAAGAGAGTTCTCTGCGCCCGCTCATCTGTCTTCAGGGTAAGTTCGGAAATGATGGGGGAGCCCTCTTCGACCCCCCAAAAGGGGCTCATCTTTGAGGGTACCACCCTCCGGCGCCCAGAGCTTGGCCCTGCGGGAGGTGGGTCCCGAGGTCAGATCCCTGGGGCCTCACCCCTTCCTCGGCCCTGCTCTGAGGTTGCTGGTTGCCATGGTGACCTGGGGGGGGCAATGACTCACCCACTGAGGACCACGATGAAATCCATGACGTTCCAGCCGTTGCGCAGGTAGGAGCCCTTGTGGAAGATGAAGCCCAGGGCCACAATCTTGATGCCCGCCTCAAAGCAAAAGATGCCGATGAAATACGGCTCCGTCTTCTCCTGCGGAAGGAACCGGAGAACCGGTCAGATTCCGGTCGGGGTCCAGGGAGGTAAGACAGGAAGGGAGACGCCAGCCCGGACCACCGCCTTGGGCCTCTCCTGCAGGTCCCCTGCCGCCAGCAGCCAGAGCTGGCCGGGGCAGGGAGCTGGCAGGAAGGAGGGAGGGAAGGAGGGCGGGTCCCCAGGACCAGAGCGCACCCCGCCCAGCAAGTGGCTGTCACTGCCAGGCTCCCGGAGGTCAGCGGGCTTCACCGGCTCTAGGTTGCCCAGCCAGGCTCAATTACCCAAGTTACTCCCCCACACATCTGGATTTGTTAATTTCCTACTAATGGGGGGGAGGGGCAGAGTTGGGCTACTCCTGGCCCAGTGCTCGGGAGTTAAGGAGCAGCTTCCAGAGGTATTTGGGGGACCATGCAGTGCTGGGGACAGAACCCGGGGCTGCCACATGCCAAGCTGCAACCCCCCGCCCCCCACTCTGAGCCATCGCCTGCCCGGCTGCATGTCTACACACTAAACTTGTGGTGTGTCTCTTGGAACTGCACTGGACGGGGAAGGGCAAGCTAAGGAGGAGGATGTGACCTCACCCTCCTGACGGAAGCCGGCACCCCGCTTTCCCCACTCCCTCGCCAAGTCCCCGAGGAAAGAGAATCCCAGACTTCCCGGCTGGTGGTGGCACATAGCATGTCCCGTGTGCTGGAACCGGGTCCCTTGCAAGAGGTCTCTCTCCGAGCCGGGGGAAACTGCATGCGAGTTCAGCATGCACAGAGCCCCGAGGTGAGTTCCCGCCCCGGGACTCCCCCAACTAAGGGGGTATCAGTGATGCCATGTGGAGACCAAACCCGTCCTCGGAACCATGTCCCAGGCCTCTGACACTTCATGGGCCCTTTCCAAGGGTCCCTCGTCTCTCTTGGTCCTTCCAAACGGCGGCAGGACGGGGGAAGGAAGGCGGCCAGGGGGAAGAGGTGGAGGGACACGGGCACGGGCAAAGGGGCACGTACCAGCCTCCTGGACATGGGCGTCTTGTCGTCCTCCGGGAGATGCTGCTCCAGGGCCAGGACGATGCAGTTGGCGATGATGGTGGCCAGGATCATGTACTCGAAGGGCGTAGGCAGGCGAGTTAAGGCAGTCACCAGAGAGAGGGGCCCGTGGGGGCACGCGCACACACACACACACACACACACACACACACACACACACACTCTCCGACCCCTGCCCCTTGGGAGGACAGCAGAGGGCGCTCAGAACGGGCAGCGTGTCCTCAGACTGGATGCAGAACACAGAGCATCCCCTGCCTTGGGAATTGACTGTACCCTAGCCCAGACTCCGTCCCTCGCCCCAGACCCCGCCCCCAGCCCCAGACTCCGCCCACAGCCCCAGACTCCGCCCACAGCCCCAGACTCCGCCCACAGCCCTAGACTCCGCCCCAGCATCAGACTCCGCCCCAACCTGATTCATATCAGACTCCACCCCTGGCCCCAGGTTCCACCCCTCATCTCAGACTTCATCCCCCCCAGACTCCACCCCTCGCCCCTGACTCCGCCCTCCTGAACTCTGCTACTTGCCCCAGACTCCGCCCCCAGCACTAGATTCCACCCCTAACCCCAGACTCCGCCTCCAGCCCTAGACTCTGCCCTCACCGCATTCATCTCAGCCGGTCACCCTGGTCCCAGGTTCCACCCCTCGTCTCAGATTTCACTCCAGGCTCCGCCCCTTGCCACAGACTCCGCCCCAACCCTAGACTCCACCCCCCAGCACCAGACTCCACCCCTGGTCCCAGGTTCCACCCCTCTTCTCAGATTTCACCCCAGGCTCCGCCCCTTGCCACAGACTCTGCTCCAACCCTAGACTCCAAACCCAGCACCAGACTCCACCCCTGGTCCGAGGTTCCACCCCTCGTCTCAGGTTTCATCCCAGGCTCCGCCCCTTGCCACAGACTCCGCCCCAATCCTAGACTCCACCCCCAGCACCAGACTCCACCCCTGGTCCCAGGTTCCACCTCTCCTCTCAGATTTCACCCGACTCCGCTCCTCATCCCAGACTCCGCCCCCTCGCCTCAGACTCCGCCCCTCGCCCCAGACTCCGCCCCTCCCCCCAGTGTCCAGTCCCAGCACCGTCCAGGAGAGCCCCAGACAGGTGGGGCAGGCCAGGGTCTCCCCAAGTTGTCCAGGCCTCAAAGAACAAGGAGCACACGCCTTGTATGCCAGGGCCTGGGGTTTCATGCCCGGCACTGCAGGGTCCCCCCCATCACCAAGCCACCTGAGCCCCAGCAGGTGTGACCCCTAAACCAGGAACGAAATGAGTTTGCAAGCCCAGGGCTGCGATGCCCTGACCCCCGCGGCCAGACGCCGAATATTCCGGAAGGGCATGATTCCATCCTGGTAGCCGGTTGCATGTGGGTCTGTGAGCAAGTCACCTCTGAGCCCCTCCTGCCCAGCCCAAGGGGGTCCCCGAAAACTGCCCTGATCACCGTGAACAGAGACCATCTCCCGATGTCAACGTCCCATGCAGGGCACACACAGCAGCTGTTGGAGGCAAAAGGAGCGTGCAGAGACCAGCTCCCTAAACCCCAGACGGTGACAACGTTCTAATAACGTTCTAGAGTCGGCGAGGAATAAGGGATCTGGAAGGGCACTCCGTCTCCCCCGAGGTGGGGGGGGCGGAATTCGCCTCCCTCTCTCCGCTACTCCTGGGCTCCAGTCTTGAGTGTTCCCGGGAGCATGCGTTTAATTTCTAAATTAGAACATCAATTACAGCCACATTGATTCTGAAAAATTCAAAAACAAACAAACAGAAAAACAACCAGCCCAGAGCCGCTTCCTGATCTGAGGGAATGAGCCCGGCGGGGGGGGGGGGGGGGGGGGGGGGGGGGAAGAGGGGGCTGCACTGGCGAAACTTGGGGGGTGGAGGGGTGGGAGAAGGATCTAGAAGCTGCGAGGCCCCCGCTCCTGCCCTCCCAGGGGTTCCCTTTCATGAACTTCCCTGGCACTGTCCCCAAACACCCACGGAGCGGTGCGGAACGGCCGCTCCTGGACCCATTGGGTTCTGCAGCTCTCTCATCTGGCGGGTTCACAGTGATCATTAGGGAACTGATAAAAATAGGATTGCTTATTGATTTATCTGCCTTACCCCCGGCACCTCCCTTCCAGCGGGCGGCGAGTCTCCTTAGCAACACGGCTGGTGTGAGCCACACTCCCTGCCCGCCCGCCCGCCTCTTCCCCGGCAGCAGGGCATGGGCTGGGTTGCCCTCTGGGGTTCTGGGGGCGTTGGAAGGGGCCGTGCCTGGGAGAATGCAGTTACGGAGAGCTCAAGGCCTCATCGGGAAATCTGGCGTGTGCAGATACTCGGGCTCAGAGTTGCTTCAGCGCCCACCTACTGCTTCTCAGTGTCCCCTCTGCTCCCAACAAAGCCTTTGACGTCAGAGCCCTGCGGACGGGGGGACAGCTCAGGGCTCAGAGCACCTGCCCAGGAAGCTTGAGGTCGTGGGTTCGATCCCCAGTGCTACCACAGAAGCATAGGCCTGGCAGCTGGGCGCTCTGCCGTCCCCAATGTGGCAAGTGACAGCCAGTACTGCAGGCTGGCACCACCCCCGGCCAGCGCCACAACTGAGGTAGCCCGTGACGCTTCCGGCCAACGTGCGTGAGCAACCGTCCCACTCTGGGTGAGCCTGGGTGAGTCGCACAGCCTCAGGCGTGGTATGTCACCCACAGCCATGAGGACACAGTACAAAACCCACACACGGGTGCTGGGACTCACGCCCGTGGACAGGCCCACGCGGACATGCACACGCGTGCGTCCCTGTGCCCACACACGTGTGTACCCATCCATGCTCATACGTGCAGGCCGACATGCATGTATTCATGCCTCAGTAACACCTGCGTGGCAGGACGGACTCTGGGAACACATGCAGAGCTCACCCGCCCCCGAGGTCCCTGGTCACTCACCACCCCAGGCTGGGGGGTCGGTGACCCCCATACAGCTCAGAAATGTGACACACATGTGCAGGGATAAAGCTGACGGCTCTGGGGTCTGGGGTCTGGGTGAGGGGCACCCTGGCCTGTCTGCCAGTCTTCAAGCAGGAACCAGAGACGGGTGCCGGAAGCCAGGGTGCAGGCGGCCCTTCCCCCACGAGGAGCTTCAGAATCATCCAGAATCATCCAGAATCTTCCAGAATCTTCCAGAACACGGGCAGCCCCACAGAGCAAGCCAACCATACCAAGAATCCCAGTTACCCCCTGGTGGGGAGGACCAAGATGCTCCCGTCCCCCACCCAGCCGACTCCAGGCATCCGCAGGGTCGCGAGGCTCGGTGAGCAAGCCTGAGGTCATGGGTTCGAGCCCCGGTACCACCACAGGAGCTTGGCAGCTGGGCACTCAGCAGGAGGGCAGGAGGGAAGAAGCAGATGTGGGTTGGCAAGAGCAGAGGCCGCTGAGGGACGCTCTGTCCAGCCATGAAACTCAGCCGGTGCCCGGGGACTGGGGGGTGGGCTGTGTCCATTCCATCCATCTTCCCGAGGTCAGCGGGAAACGGCCAGGCCGGAACAGAAGGGGGGAGGGCAGCAGTGAAGCCGTCAGACGAGTGAGCGCAAACCGTCCTAGCAGCCTGGGGGACAGCAGAGCACCTGTCCCTCAGTCTGGGCCAGCTCCTGCCTGTCTGTCTGTCTCGGTCCCTGGGACTGCACGAAAATCAACCCACCCGGACGGACGCCCGTTCCCCTCCATGAGGACAGCCCTGAACGGCTTTGCTGCACCCACAAACCCTCCTAACCCCACCACCCCCGCCCCAGCAGAGAAGGGAGCACCGGGCAGGGAGCTCCCCCAGACTCTGCTCCCTGGAGCACTGGCCAAGACCTCCCAGAACACCCACGCAAGAAGAAGAGGCCTCGGACGGAGAGCCGGTGACGCCGGGGTCCTGCGGGGCGACTGTCCCCTCCCTGAGGTCAGTCTTGGCCTCTGAGTGCATCTCGGGGGGAATCAAGTTTGGCTCTGGGCCCGCAGGCCTGTTCCGTCCTGGTGCTGGGGGCCAGGGGGCACCACGGAAGTGGGGAGCAGGGTGGGGGCACACCCCAGCCCTCTCCCACCCCTGGGCCAGGCCTGGCTGGCCACACCCAGGGGCCTTTCCGTGCGGCAAGTTCCCGGCTCATGAAATTTGGGGGTGTGGGGGCAGGATGCTCCCCAGCACCTCGAGGTCCCCTAAGCACCACCAGGAATGACACCCCCAGCACCCAGCACCCAGCACCCAGCAGGAGTAGCCCAGCCAGGGGTGGGGGTGGAGGGACGTGGGGGAAAAAAAAAAAACCTTTAAAAAAAAAAAGTGAGACCGATGAGAGGCAAAAAAAAAAAAAATCCACCCCCAAAACCAAGCCCCTTTTTTCTTTTTTTAAAACAAAACAAAACACAACACGGCCACGTGACCTCCCAGCCTTCCCCCCCCCCTTCCCCATCAGCATCAGTTTCTTAACTTCGGTTTCCATGGCGGTGCGGATGCGACCTGCCGTCGTCATGGCAACGGCTGCCTCTGTGCAAAGTCCCCCCCTCCCCGGCTGACAGGCAGAGAGGGAGCGAAAAGGCAGGGCCCAGCCCTTGCCTTGCCTCCTGCTCGCTTTGGGGGGCCACGGAGGGGCCCCCTCAGAGCCTGGTGAATGAAAGACAAAGTGGGGTGCACAGGAGCAAGGGTCCCTGGTGGTGGGGGGCTTCTGTCGGCAGAAACACACCCTGCAGCTCCAGGGAGTGGGGGAGACGCCAGTGAACTCAGTTACCCCAAACAAAGGCCTCCCCCCGGCCCCCCGGCTTCCACTCATCCAGCCAGCTGCTGACCCCAGTTCTCAGGGAGAGGTGGGGGAGACCCCCCTCCACACACACAGCACCCCAGGGTGGCCCAGCCCCTGTGGACCCGTTGGCATGAGCCCTGGGCGGAGTTGCTACCAGCCACCATGCAGGGGCAGCCCCACGTGGGATGCTGAGACCACAGAGAGAGAAGGCAGACAGCGGGGGGAGGGACGGGGGCCCTGCCTGGGCTTGTGGCCCCTGTGTGGGGGGAGGGCAGGTGGAGCTGGCGGTGGGGTGAGGGGTCACTGGCAGGCCACCGTGGTCACACGCAGGCCTGCAG